GGTTATGTTGGAACTGTGATTGTTGATTGATCAGTAGTTGTTAGTGCATCAGTGGTTGTTTGTTGATCAGTGGTTGTTGGTTGATTAGTGGTTGTTGAGTGATCAGTGGTTGTTTCTTCAGTTGTTGGTTCTACAGTGGTTGTTGGTTGATCAGTGGTTGTTGTTTGATCAGTGGTTGTTAGTTGATCAGTGGTTGTTGGTTGATCTGAGGTTGATTGATCAGTGGTTGTTGGTTGATCAGTGGTTGTTGGTGGTTGTTGTTGATCAGTGGTTTTGTTGGTTGATCAGTGGTTGTTGGTTGATCAGTGGTTGTTGGTTGATCAGTGGTTGTTGTTGTGGTTGTTGGTTTGTGGTTGTTGGTTGATCAGTGTTGTTGGTTTGTTGATCAGTGGTTGTTGTTGTTGCAGTGTTGTTGTTGATCAGTGGTTGTTGGTTTGATCAGTGGTTGTTGGTTGATCAGTGGTTGTTGGTTGATCAGTGGTTGTTGGTTTCAGTGGTTGTTGGTTGATGAGTGGTTGTTGGTTGATCAGTGGTTGTTGGTTGATCAGTGGTTGTTGGTTGATGAGTGGTTGTTGGTTGATGAGTGGGTTGTTGGTTCTTCAGTGGTTGTTGGTTGATCAGGTTGTTGGTTGATTAGTTGTTGGTTGATCAGTGGTTGTTGGTTGATCAGTGTTGTTGGTTGATCAGTGGTTGTTGGTTCAGTGGTTCAGTGTTGTTGGTTGATCAGTGGTTGTTGGTTGATCAGTGTCAGTGGTCAGTGGTTGTTGGTTGATCAGTGGTTGTTGGTTGATCAGTGGTTGTTGGTTGATCAGTGGTTGTTGGTTGATCAGTGGGTTGGTTGATGGTTGTTGGTTGATCAGTGTTTGTTGGTTGATCAGTGGTTGTTGTTGATCAGTGGTGTTGGTTGATGTGGTTGTTGTTGATCATGGTTGTTGGTTCAGTGTTGTTGGTTGATCAGTGGTTGTTGTTGATCAGTGGTTGTTGGTTGATCAGTGGTTGTTGGTTGATCAGTGGTTGTTGGTTGATCAGTGGTTGTTGGTTGATTGTTGTTGGTTGATCAGTGGTTGTATATTGATCAGTGGTTGTTGTTGATCAGTGGTTGTTGGTTGATCAGTGTTGTTGGTTGATCAGTGGTTGTTGGTTGTGGTTGTTGGTTGATCAGTGGTTGTTGGTTGATCAGTGGTTGTTGGTTGATCTTTGTTGGTTGGTGGTTGTTTGGTTGATCAGTGGTTGTTGGTTGATCAGTGGTTGGTTGATCAGTGGTTGTTGGTTGATCAGTGGTTGTTGTTGATCAGTGGTTGTTGTTGATCAGTTTGTTGGTTGATCAGTGGTTGTTGGTTGATCAGTGGTTGTTGGTTGATCAGTGGTTGTTGGTTGATCAGTGGTTGTTGGTTGATCAGTGGTTGTTGGTTGATCAGTGTTGTTGGTTGATCAGTGGTTGTTGGTTGATCAGTGGTTGTTGGTTGATCAGTGGTTGTTGGTTGATCAGTGGTTGTTGGTTGATCAGTGGTTGTTGGTTGATCAGTGGTTGTTGTTGATCAGTGGTTGTTGGTTGATCAGTGGTTGTTGGTTGATTGGTTGTTGGTTGATCAGTGGTTGTTGGTTCTTCAGTGGTTTTGGTTGATCAGGTGGTTGATTTGTTGGTTGATCAGTGGTTGTCAGTGGTTGTTGATCAGTGGTTGTTGGTTGATCAGTGGTTGTTGGTTGATCAGTGGTTGTTGGTTTCAGTGGTTGTTGTTGATCAGTGGTTGTTGGTTGATCCAGTGTTGTTTGGTGGTTGTTGGTTGATCAGTGGTTGTTGGTTGATCAGTGGTTGTTTGGTTGATCAGTGGTTGTTGGTTGATCAGTGGTTGTTGGTTATCAGTGGTTGTTGGTTGATCAGTGGTTGTTGGTTGATCAGTGTTGTTGGTTGATCAGTGGTTGTTGGTTGATCAGTGGTTGTTGGTTGATCAGTGTTGTTGGTTGATCAGTGGTTGTTGGTTGATCAGTGGTTGTTGGTTGATCAGTGGTTGTTGGTTGATCAGTGTTGTTGGTTGATCAGTGGTTGTTGGTTGATCAGTGGTTGTTGGTTGATCAGTGGTTGTTGGTTGATCAGTGTTGTTGGTTGATCAGTGGTTGTTGGTTGATCGGTTGTTGGTTGATCAGTTGTTGGTTTGGTTGTTGGTTGATCAGTGGTTGATCAGCAGTGGTTGTTGGTTGATCAGTGGTTGTTGGTGATCAGTGTTGTTGGTTGATCAGTGGTTGTTGGTTGATCAGTGGTTGTTGGTTGATCAGTGGTTGCAGTGTTGTTGTTGATCAGTGGTTGTTGGTTGATCAGTTGTTGGTTGATTGTGGTTGTTGATCAGTGGTTGTTGGTTGATCAGTGGTTGTTGGATCAGTGTTGTTGGTTGATCAGTGGTTGTTGGTTGATCAGTGGTTGTTGGTTGATCAGTGGTTGTTGGTTGATCAGTGGTTGTTGTTGATCAGTGGTTGTTGGTTGATCAGTGGTTGTTGGTTGATCAGTGGTTGTTGTTGAGCAATTGGTTGTTGGTTGATCAGTGGTGTTTGGTTGATCAGTGGTTGTTGGTCAGTGGTTGTTGATCAGTGGTTGTTGGTTGATCAGTGGTTGTTGGTTGATCAGTGGTTGTTGTTTGATCAGTGATCAGTGGTTGTTGGTTGATCAGTGGTTGTTGGTTGATCAGTGGTTGTTTGATCAGTGGTTGTTGGTTGATCAGTGGTTGTTGGTTGTGGTTGATAGTGGTTGTTGGTTGATCAGTGGTTGTTGGTTGATCAGTGGTTGGTTGATCAGTGGTTGTTGGTTTCAGTGGTTGTTGGTTTGATCAGTGGTTGTTGGTCAGTGTTGTTGGTTGATCAGTGGTTTTGTTGGTGGTGTTGTTGATCAGTGGTTGTTGGTGGTTGTTGGTTGATCAGTGGTGTTGGTTGATCAGAGTGGTTGTTGTTGATCAGTGGTTGTTGGTTGTGGTGTTGCAGTGGTTGTTGGTTTCAGTGGTTGTTCAGTGGTTGGTTGATCAGTGGTTGTTGGTTGATCAGTGGTTTGTTGATCAGTGGTTGTTGTTGATCAGTGGTTGTTGGTTGATCAGTGGTTGTTGGTTGATCAGTGTTGTTGTTGGTGGTTGAGTGGTTGTTGGTTGATCAGTGGTTGTTGGTTGATCAGTGGTTGTTGGTTGATCAGTGTTGTTGGTTGATCAGTGGTTGTTGGTTGATCAGTGGTGTTGGTTGATCATTGTTGTTGATCAGTGGTTGTTGGGTTGATCAGTGGTTGTTGGTTGATCAGTGGTGGTTGGTTGATCAGTGGTTGTTGGTTGATCAGTGGTTGTTGGTTGATCAGTGGTTGTTGGTTGATCAGTGTTGTTGGTTGATGGTTGTTGGTTGATCAGTGGTTGTTGGTTGATCAGTGGTTGTTGGTTGATCAGTGGTTGTTGGTTGATCAGTGGTTGTCTTGATCAGTGGTTGTTGTTGATCAGTGGTTGTTGGTTAGTGGTTGTTGTCAGTGGTTGTTTGGTTGTTGTTGGTGATCAGTGGTTGTTGGTTGATCAGTGGTTGTTGGTTGATCAGTGGTTGTTGTTTGATCAGTGGTTGTTGGTTGATCAGTGGTTGTTGGTGATCAGTGGTTGTTGGTTGATCAGTGGTTCAGTGTTGTTGGTTGATCAGTGGTTGTTGGTTGATCAGTGGTTGTTGGTTGATCAGTGGTTGTTGGTTGATCAGTGGTTGTTGGTTGATCAGTGGTTGTTGGTTGATCAGTGGTTGTTGGTTGATCAGTGGGTTGATTGGTTGTTGGTTGATCAGTGTTGTTGGTTGATCAGTGGTTGTTGTTGATCAGTGGTTGTTGGTTGATCAGTGGTTGTTGGTTGATGGTTGTTGGTTGATCAGTGGTTGTTGGTTGATCAGTGGTTGTTGGTTGATCAGTGGTTGTTGGTTGATCAGTGGTTGTTGATTGGTGATCAGTGGTTGTTGGTTGATCAGTGGTTGTTGGTTGATCAGTGGTTGTTGGTTGATCAGTGGTTGTTGGTTGAAGTGGTTGTTGGTTGGTGGTTGTTGGTTGCAGTGGTTGTTGTTGATCAGTGGTTGTTGGGTTGTTGGTTGTGGTTGTTGGTTGATCAGTGGTTGTTGTTGATCGTGGTTGTTTGGTTGATCAGTGGTTGTTGGTTGATCAGTGGTTGTTTGTTGATCAGTGGTTGTTGGTTGATCAGTGGTTGTTGGTTGCAGTGGTTGTTCAGTGGTTGTTGTTGATCAGTGGTTGTTGGTTCTTCAGTGGTTGTTGGTTTGCAGTGGTTGTTGATTGATCAGTGGTTGTTGGTTGATCAGTGGTTGTTGGTTGTGTTGTTGGTTGTGTTGTTGGTTGATCAGTGGTTGTTGTTGTTGTTGGTTGCAGTGGTTGT